CGACGCGAGCAAGACGGACGAGGTAGCGGAACTGCATGTTGACGAGGGTGAGAAGCGCGAAAGCAAAATATGAAAATGGGAAAGTGTGACCAGCGACGCGCTGTCTGAGGACGCTTGGGATAAGCATCGAAATCGATGGATATACTGTAGTTGAAGAAAGGAAATGTAGTAGTGGTGTTGTTCTAGATTGCGGTGACGGCTCATATCGTTGGGATACCAGATCGAAGGACTTGAGATTCAATCGGTCGGTGTTCGAGCGAGATTCCATCCACATCGTTGTGATCAACAGCGTGAGTAGTCGACCTGTCCTAGGGGTAGGTCTTTCTATTTTTGACATATCTTCCGTAGTTTGGTGCGGATGTCCATGAGCAGCGACGAGCGCAGAGGTAGGCGCAACTTGCAGCTGGATGCTTGGATAGCAAGTGGAAATGCGTAGACTCGCTCGGAGACTTGCACGCGGCGGCGCACGCTGGCTTGCAGCTCCTGGCCTCCAATGAGGTGTTGCAAGCCACAGTGCACGAGCTCGAGGCGGCCCTCCAAAGTGCCCGCAACGAGTGCGACGACTGGGCGGGGAAACACGAGCTGTGTTGGAAACAGCGCTGCGAAGCCATTTACGAAGTCAACTTCCTCCTCAAGACCAACAAGGAGCTGCACCAGGAGGTCGGGCGGCTCAACGACAAGTGCGTTTGCCTTGAGCGCGAAGCCATGAAGCTCGAGAACCGCCTCGTGCACGCTGAGACGAGTTTACGTCGGTACGTTGTCGAGAAGAAGGAGCGGCGCACGAGCAACCCCAGTCTACTGGCGGAGAAGCGGCGCTCGGTCAACACGGCGACCGTGGCGCCCGAGCCATCGCCGACAATTGACGTGGCCAGCGTCATGGCGCCGTACGAAGCTCGTTTGCGCAGCCTGGCGGTCGAGCTGGAAGCCTCCCGCGACGTCGAGACCAAGTATGCTGCGGCGATGGAAACCATCGAGGACCAGAAGACCCAGATTGAGGACCAAAAGACTCAGATTGAGGACCAGAAGACCCAGATCAAGGACCAGAAGAGCCAGAACGGGAGTCTGCAGGCGCAGATCGAGAGCTTGAGAGTGCAGAACGAAAGCGACAAGGCGCGCCTCAGCGGCTTGGAAGAAGAGCAGATCGAAGAGCGTGCTATCTTGGCATCCATGCGCGAGTCCATGGGCCACCTCAAACAAGTAGTAGTAGGTCTCATGTATTGCGCTAACGCGCTCTCGTGTAGAACATCGCAGCCCTCGAAGATGCTCTGGCCGAGGCCCAAAGTCAGTCTACGATCAGCTGTGACTTGCGAGGTCGTCTAGTCGCGCTGCACCGATGCATGGTGGTGCCCGGCAACCAGGCAGACGAACCAGAAGCAAGTGCAGACGATGAGACGCAGCACTTGGTAGAAGCACTCGACCACGTGCTCGAGCTTCTCAGCGAGCTGAAGAATCAGCAGCCTCTCTCATGGCTCCAGCGTCCCACATTCCTGACGCTTCCTGGGCCCAACGACGACATAGCCGAAAACCGAAACACGTCGCTCGGTACAGCTAACACATATGAATCGCCGACCTGTTCCTCCCGGCGTAGACAAGCGTACGTTGACAGAGCCTATTCAGCGCCTTAAAGAAGTCTACCATGCTGCGTCCGAGGCTGACGTCATGGGGCTCACCGATTGGCTTCATAACGCCAAGCGAGGGACTGGCATTGGCCGTCCCTTCCAATTGTACGACCTGTCGCCAAACGAGGTACACGGCGTCCTTACACAACTTACACCGCTGCTACAGCAACAGTGCGGTGCCCCTATCCAGGCCCAACGCACCAACCGCGTCATCTACAACACAGATCTTAGTTTGCGCGCACTAACAACGTCAGAAAAATGACCTTCCTTTTGACAACCACCAAACCCCACACCGCTATATTCGCCACGAGTATACGTAGCTGCACCCACGACAGCCCTGCTCATGGACATCCGCACCAAACTACGGAAGATATGTCAAAAATAGAAAGACCTACCCCTAGGACAGGTCGACTACTCACGCTGTTGATCACAACGATGTGGATGGAATCTCGCTCGAACACCGACCGATTGAATCTCAAGTCCTTCGATCTGGTATCCCAACGATATGAGCCGTCACCGCAATCTAGAACAACACCACTACTACATTTCCTTTCTTCAACTACAGTATATCCATCGATTTCGATGCTTATCCCAAGCGTCCTCAGACAGCGCGTCGCTGGTCACACTTTCCCATTTTCATATTTGCTTCGCGCTTCTCACCCTCGTCAACATGCAGTTCCGCTACCTCGTCGTCTTGCTCGCGTCGGCTGCGATGGCGTCCG